ATAGAAGAAAACAATTATGGGTGCTGCTGCCATGATGACCATTATTGGAAAACCATGTTACTTATGATTGCCAAATGTTCAAAAAAGAAATGCAGGACTAAAATGCAGCCTGGGTTGGAAAAGTAGTCTAATTGGCTTCTTTTTCTTTAAGTTATACATTTTCAAAGTGTGAACTTGAACTCCCATGGGCCTGAAGCCTTATGCTTGTTACACGTTTTACTTACATTGGTATTACCTGTTGAGCATAATTAAAATTTGATGTTGAATTTGCAGTTTAACATAATGTACTTTTGCATCAGAATTGACAGTAGCCTATTTTGTGCATAGTTATTTCCTGCTTTTTGTCTGTACATTTGACAGCTTTGCTGCCTTGTTTTTTTTAGCAGTTTTTCCTTTGCTGTTAAAGTATGGTGCTTTTGTATCTCTGTCATTAAATGAAATGCCAGTATAGATTATTATTTATTAAATTATTATTATTATTATTATTATTATCCTTAACAGGTGGGTATCCAAGAGGTGGACGTGGTGGAAGGTTCTTCTCTGCTCCACCAAGACCTTATAGTGGTCATAACAGTGCTGGCTATGGCCGCCCACCAGCCAAGCACAGTGCATCAGCCACAGCTTCTTACAATTCCAAACAAGATGAGAACGAGGTGGAAGACACACAAAACTTGGTTAGGGAAGACAAAGAAAATGTTGGAGACAGAGAGTAAGTGATTGGGTACATTTTCTTATTGTTGAGTTAATGCATGGCAGTAGTCAGGGTTGAAACTGATTATGGTTTTGACTACCTGGAAAAGATATTACTTAAACCAATTGCTGAATTTTGTGTTTGTGTCTTTTACTTCATATCTTAATAAATTTGAGGCAATGTCGAAGGACTGTGGTTTATGATGAGACATCTTCACTTTTCACTAGCTATGACTACAGAAAGGGAGACAAGAATTACCCACCTAGGTATGGTGGAGGCAGAGGTGGCAGCTCTGGTGGAATGGGGCGTGGCAGAGGCGGTTACTCTGAGCGCTCACGAGGACGAGGCAGAGGTCGCGCTGGCAGCTACTCAGCAGGACGAGGCAGTGGACGTGGCAACAAGTCCCAGCAGTTGAACAGATCCAATTCCTCAGATGTTAATGCCAATGACCAGGAAGAGTGGGAGACTGCCTCCGAGAGTAGCGATGTCTTGGAGCGAAGCGACAAGCAGGATTCAAAAAACGAATTTAAAGACAACAGGGACAGAAAAGAGAATGGCCCCTTCAAAAAGAGTTTCTCTGGCCAAAGGCCTGTGACCGACCGCACTAATCGCCGTGCAAATGGTGCAGATAACTGGAGGTCAGGAGATAGAAATAATAGAAAAGAGAAGTCACCCAGCTATAAGGCTAATGGGACTGCTGGTGGAGGAAGGCCTGGAAACCCTGGTCCAAGGAACAACAAGAATTCTGCCAAGAAGGAAAACGTCAGTGTATACAGAGTGGATGAAATCGTCCCTGATGATCCTAATGCTATTAGGAATGCCCTGAGTAATCTGAACAACAAGTAAGTAAATTAATCTTGATTAGAAAAGCTTAAATATTAGCAATGAGGATGTGTTAGAAAATCTGTCAATCCAGTGAATGGCCATGATATAGAAATCTAACCCTACTCTGAGCTAGCTGTGTGATTGAGGTTGGGAGATTTTCATAAGCATTCTGCCCAAGGAGGGGCACTTTTCCAGTGCTTATCAATTCATAGAATATTTGATATTTCAAATGTTATGCTTATGTTTGGTGAAAGTTTCCATTATTTCTTTTTAGGAATAAAATGACCTCCAAACAATCTGGACTATCAGATGTATCCAAGCCTTTAAAAAATACCCAAGAAAAAAATGAAAAGGACAACAAGAAGGCTGATGCCCTAGCAAATATTGATATTAACAATTATGCCAGTAAGTTTTGTAAATTTTAAGTATGATAAAGTAGCAATTGTTACAGGAAAATATAACCGACAGATCTTAAATTGTACGGCACTCATTCTTGAATACAAAAGCATTACCTGTAGAAAAAAGAAAGTGTAGTCAGTCGAAATGCTTCAAGCAAGGGATCCCTTTATAGAAAGAATTAACTGTTGTTTGGTTTTAACTTTAGACCAATTATCAAGTGGACTCCTCCATTTATCCTGTAATTAAAGAAAAAAAGTAAGACTCCTATTCTCCATGTCATGTTCTTTAATAAATCTGGTCCCAGTGTACACAAGTATTCAGCTTTCCCAGATAACTTAATTCCTTGTTTCTTTCAGGTGTGGTGGTCATAGATGACCAGCCAGAAGTGACCATAGATGATCCAGACTTCCTGTTTGAAGCCAATGAGGGCTTTCAGGAGGTTTCCTACAAAAAGTCCACCAAGAAGACAAAAGAAACACTGCTGACTAAGAAAGTATCAGATCAGAAGGGTAAAAAGGAGAAAGACCTGCTGTCAAAGGTAGGAGCAGTTGGCTTTCGTGTATTTCCATCTTTGTGTTTGCTATGATGATGTGTTAGAAAAATCTGTCAATCCAATGAATGACCGTGATATTACAATCTAACTTGACTCTGAGCAAACATTTCATCACAGTTAATATAAATGAAAATAAACCGTGTGTGAAAGGTTGGAGATATTTGGGTTTTATCCTGTTTGATCACCACCAAACAAAAATGATATACATTATTGGCCATTTTTTAAGGTGCTGTCCTCAAAGCCAAGAGTAGCAGCCTCCCCCATAGTAAATTCTGGTGAGAAACTCAGCGGTGGTGGTGGTGGCAAGTTCAGCAAGCTGCCCCCAAGACTGGCCAAGCAGAAAGAGCAGAGAGAGAGGGAGCGTGAAAATAATAAAAACAACAACACCAATGTGTTCATGCCAAAGATAGAGAACTGGGATAACGAGCTGGCCAACAACATTCCAATGTCAGGGGGACCTAGCATCATGGAAGTGGAGGCCAAGCGTAAGTTGTTTATTTTAGCCATTTGTGGGGATATAGGTAAATGTGTACCGTTGTTTGGTATAATTTAAGAATAAAGTAGGAATCGCTTTGAGCCAGATGATGACTTTCAATAAAGCAGATGCCTTGGCAAAGAAGACAATACTCATCACCCACTAGACTGATGGCTTATCAATATTTTAAGTGTATGTAAATGTAAAGAAATCACATCACAAATAATTTAATTCCTTGATAAGATTTAATTTTGATAATTATAGAAGGTTACAGCTATTTTATTTGTGTTTCTTTCCTTGTACAGACTCCCTAGCCAGTGTAACACCCTCAGTTCCAACCAGCCTGTTGCCTAGCGTGCCGGTGAATGCCTGGGACAAACCCATCACCTTCTCTGCTCAGATGGGGATAGCTGAACCGCTGGGAGAGCAGAAGTTTGACAAGAATGATCAGCATGACAGTGGCATTGACATGAACGACATGAACAATTCTGCTCCCTCTTCCAGAAGGAGCTCTCCTGGCAATGAGAGCAAGATAGCACAGGTATGACTGGAATGTGTGGCTGTGAGCTCAGTTGTGAAGTTCTGTAGACTTGAAGAATTCAGCCATATGATGACTTACAACACAGCAGATGCTATGGCAAAGAAGACATAACTCATCACCCATCTACCTGATGGCTGTACTTATATTTAGTTTTATGCCTCCTTCATGAATACATATTTCAAGCCATTCTATTACTTATGTTTGCATTTTACTGCCTCACTTGCTCTTTATTTTGTCCAAGTGCCATTTGAAATGATAAATCTATTTGTTTACAACTGAAATGAGTAGTAATCGGTACATGCTGTAAACTTTGCAGCTGAGTGAAGAGTTGGCAGCTGATGCTCTGAGCAGTGCCACATATGATGCTGTCAAACAACAAGAACACCAGTCCAAGGGTGCTGGAAACAAGGCAGAGGAACTTAGTCGCACACCAAGGAAGGAGAACAAAGTGGAGCCCATCCAGTTTCCAGCTACATTTGGCTCTTTCAGCCTGTCGCAGGTAAATGGATTAGGTGCTTTGGGCTATGTCAACCTATGGTTTGACAAAAAAAGAAAAAGTTGAACTAAAATGAAAAACTGAGATCATAATCAGAAACAAGATCAGTTTTTTTAATGAAAAA